TATATATATATATCAAGGATATGTGTATGTATGCTTTTTTATTTAAATATATGAATTGGGAGTTACTCCACATTTCTATATGCTGACATTTTGTTTTGGTACAATTATACTTTAAACATTACTAAGTCCTGTATTACACTGGTAAAAAGTAACAGACCTGGGACTGAACCCCAGTTGTTTGAGGTAATAAAAACATGAAAGCGACAAAATAAAGCAAAACAATAGACTATACCAGCCATGTAAAATACCAGTTAGTTAAAGGTATAATATATATACAGTATATATATATATTTGTTTTGTAATTCTTTGTCCCTATAGGAAGATGATTGCACATTTTTCCATCTCCTATGCTGGTCACATGCTCTAGTATTAGGCGTATGATGTAAAAATCATTGTGATGCCAGATGCTTGCTTTTACATGACAACAGTACTAATGATTAGGCAGGGCCCACACTTGATCTTTATAAGATACAGAATTTCCTGCTATCTTGTAAACACCTCCTGTCTCTTCTTTTGCTTCCTGCAAGTTCCAGAAAACATGCCTAGGCTAAGCAGATAAGGGCAAGTTTTAATCTCAAATTGTGAATACCAGCATGTAGAGCAGAACCTGAAGCTGCTTCTAGCAGTGTCATGAGAATATCGACAGAAGCATCTTGAGGACTAAGGCTACATTCACACTATGTGATTTGGGATTCCTGCAGCAAGAACCTATGGATTCCTGCCGCAGGAATCCCAGACCTCCCTTTAAGATGTGGCTGCTATCACTCATTCAAGTCAGTCACCAGGTGACAGCGGCTGCATCCGTAAGCAGCAGTCCGCATGTAATCGTATGAGATACTATTACATGCAGTTTGGAACAGATCACGTGTCCTTGGATGCATCTATAGATCACAGGAACATTGATCTATTCCAAACCGCCTGTAATCGTGTCTCAAACGATTACATGGGGCCTACCGCTTACAGGTGTGGTCGCTGTCACTCAGTCATTGAACAGGTGATATTGGTTGCATCTAAAAGGGAGATTTGTGATTCCTGCTGCAGGAATCCGTAGGTTCCTGTGGCAGAAATCCCAAATTGCATAGTGTGAATGAGCCATAAAAGAACAACCATGCATGCACATATGGCCAGCCACTCCACTGGAATCCTATATTTTTAAGAAAGGAATGATAAAAGCTATATAATGACCAGAAGATAAAATAGTGCAGGCAGCCATTTATAACATAACATATAACATTTATTTAGAAATATTTTTTTCTTTTAAACGGGAGAGAATGTATGCTAGAATCTGCATATAACTATATGAAAGCTGGATATCTCCAAGAGTCCATTCACAACAACCTCACTAGAGCTAAATACGTGGTACGTAGAGGGGGGAAAAAAGTAATCAAAATAGGCAGATTCAAAATTAAAGAAAAAATAAAATGCAGGGGGAAAAATAGTGGAAAAAAAAAGCTTTTTCCTGATAGCTATCTTTGAATGGAAATACTGGCTATAGCTTTAAAAAATTAAACTCTGTGACATTGCTGCACCGAACTCTACGAACGCTTACCAAATGTCCCCTTAACGTGCTGTTCTTCAGACTAGCATTACTAGCTATGGGTACAAAATGCTGCCTGTGTGTACCTATCCTAATTTTGTTAAAATATAAATATATGAAACGTCAAGAATAACTTTTGTTCATTAGCCACCTGAACTAAAAACTTTTCTGGTGGTTAGGTTTGAATCTGGCTTCACTCATAGAAATGTTGGAGCGAGGAATTGTCTCTGTTGAAAAAAAATCATATATTGCTTTTTCCTATTTTGTAACAGAAGTGTGACGCATGACAGACTAAGATATTTCTTCTTTCATACATTTATATAGAAGAAGGTCATCTGTGTCAACTGCAACTATTATACTAAGTGTATTCAGCCACCTGGGAAATGTATCTTATACTTGGTGCATCATGAACAGGGAGAACTAACAGGCATGCAAAATCTAACCAAAGCAAGCAGTTTGTGAACATTTTTAACCAACTGCTCCATTATATATACAGTGGTACCTAGGTTCATGAACTTAATTTGTTCCACGATTCTGGTCGCGAACCGAATTGGTCGTGAACCGAATAAAATTTCCCCATAAGGCTCAATGTAAATAAGGTTAATCCGTTCTGACCCCTACGAACGTGGTCGCGAACAGAATCAAATTTTCCCATAGGGTTCAATGTAAATGAGGTTAATCCGTTCGGAACCATATGTAAATTCAATACCGCTCTGCACTTTCTTTTTACCACCATGCTTGCTCTGCACTTTCTTGTTACCTTAATTACCGCTCTGCACTTTCTTTTTTACCACCATTCTTGCTCTGCACTTTCTTGTTACCTTCATTACCGCTCTGCACTTTCTTTTTACCACCATGCTTGCTCTGCACTTTCTTTGGAGCCATGCTGGATTGAATAATACTGTACAGTACTGTATGTGCTAAAAAGCACACAGTAAAACTTCACAGCAAGTGTGCACAGGTCTGTCTGCAACCGCAATCTCGACTAGAGGAAGCCACGACCATGTGTCAGAGCGGGGAAGATGGCCGCGGTTGTGTTCGGCACCCGATGCAGAGTTCGAGAACGGAGGCAAACTTTTGCTGAACTTCCAGTTTGCGAACCAAATTGTTCGTGAACAGATGCGTTTGTGAACCGAGGTATTACTGTACATACGATGTTGGCATAATCTGGATCTGATTTAAACAAGCCTGAAGAAATTTTAAAATCTCAGCATAATACTATCCTGTTATAACATCAGCATTGTAATAAGAATACATACTAGAGTTGTTTTTGATAACGCAATCAAAGCTTACTGGAAAAAACCCTTTTACATAGTGGGTGCTGCCTTCTGTCTGCCCATCACTTTCATCAACTTCCTGGATTCCCAGTATGCTTTCTATCTCTTTCCCGGCTGCTTGATGTGATGTAATCTGGATTTCGCAAGACTACATATCTCATCATCCACTGCTGATAATGTTACATTGTTCAGATGTGGAGTTGTAGTTCAGAAGGCAATCTCTGTGAGTTGTGACACAAATAAGTGCATATTCACAGGGCTGAGTGACATTGTGTCCCTACATTGAGGAAGTACATCTTATGGACATCTCCAATAAGTAAGTTTACAAACTTCTATATCGATATGGTTATTAGTAATGGGACAGAACTTATGGAAATTCAATATAGAAATACAGATTTTTTTTTTAGTTTCTGACCATAGATACCGTTTAACGTAAAGAAACTCACCAGTAATGAGGACAGTTTTGCCATCCAGTCTTTTTGCATCAAGACAAAGGCGTCTGCTCTTGAGCCACTTTAGAAAAAGAGTTAAAAATAATGCCAGCAGCACAGTGACCAGCACGTACATGGTGTCGTCCTGCAAAAAAATAAACACACATCTAATTTATTATACTTCTACACAATACTACTTGGTAGGGTACAGCAGTGCTTCTTAAATCTGTCCTCAAGTCCCAACAATAGTCCACGTGGGGAAACAATATCCTAATGATGATACAAACAGAACGTCAGCTGTGCATACGTGAGGCTAGCTGTTATTCATCCATGTTTAATGGGATTTGAGGTTTAAGAAACACCAGTGTATACTCCAAATATCAGTATGAAAGTTGACAGACCCTTTAATTTAAAAAGGTACATATACAGTTTAAAGTAGTATTACAAGTTTGTTTTAATAAGTTCAGATCAAATATACATTGCCCAGTTAAGTATTTCTTTGATTAGTTGCCTAAGCATTTACAGTTAGCATGTTTCTAAACAGCTGGCTCCAACTTTCCCCCACTCCGCTTCCCTGAACTTCCCATTCAATACAACATCACGAGGGACAGACCTTGCTGTGTTCGTGGAGACGCACGGCTTACTAGCACACACAAGGGTGGCTCCTTAGGACCTTATAACGGAAAGGAGCCACCCTAAAACAGGATATCAGGGCTAGTGCTCAGGGGAGCAGCTTATTCTGCAGGAAGCTAAAACTTTTAAACTTCAAGGAGCAGCATCCATTGTATTTGATATAGCTTAAAAACCTTTTGACTTTATATCACTTTAAGTTCTGTGGGGAACTAGAATACATCTGGTGGGAAATTACTGACTTGTAAAATCCTGAGCTTTTGTAGTAAATAGAAAAATCCGATTTTGTTCTCTGTTCAGGGACACAGGAAGTCTTAAATCTGTAAGAAGTCCAAAAGCAGTCCAAATGAGGGGTGGAAGAAAAGTCCACCTGGTAGGACTAAGAGAACATGTAAACATAAGACCAGGTGGCAGCCTTGGAAACCTGGGAAACCGGGGCCTGATGGTGAAAAGCCCAAGAGGTGCGCACTGAACCCAATTCTTAACACCATACACCTGAACAATGGTCTGGAACCCTTTCTAGGCTTATGCGGGATGACAAAAACTAAATCAGCCTTTCTGAAGGAAGCAGCAGCTGAAAGATAGACTCACATAGCTTGGACCACATCCAAACACTGAAATTTCCTTCTGGTGACCTGGGGCCTTCTGGGACAAAGGGGATAAATGTCCTGAGGAAGGTGAAAAGTGGAAACTACCATGGGAAGAAAGGAAGATGCCATGCAAGATAAAGCTGACGGCAAAAATACTTGCCTAAGCAACCTTGTATGGGCTTCTGAAGTGCCAAAAGAGTAAGATTTAAATTCCATGAAGTAAAAAATGATTTGACCAGGGGACCATATGGGAGACTCCCTGCACAAGGGTCTTAATCAGAGAGTGGAAAGCCAACGGTCTCTGAAACACAATAGCTGGCCCAGACAACTGCACACAAAAAAAAACCTGTCCCATTTAGAAATTCGTGGGGTGAAAGATTGTCAGGCCTGAAGGTAGACTTTCCAGCAAAGACATAGGAACATCATAGAAATCACAAACTTAGAGATGCCCCTGTCCCTAGAAACCAGACTTCAACAGCCATGATATAAAAGCCAGTGTTTGGGAGAAGGAAAGGAAAGGAAAATTGGTATTTGGGACAACAGATCCGGATGGTCTGGCAGCACCCACAGCATAACTAGGAGAAGTCATACTAGGTCTACATACTACATCTGCCTAGGCCAATCCAGGGCAATAAGGATCTCTAGGATGCCCTCCATCTCTATCCTGTGGAGCAGGTGATGGAGAGTTTGGGGGAGGAAAGGTTCCATGCGTAAGGGACAGCCATATTAACTGACACTTAAAAAACTTATTGGGAGATGACATTTCTCCGACGACAAAGTCCCCAACACCAACAAAGTGCCCCCTTCCCCCTCCCAGCGAAACAGGCTGGTATCCCTCATCAGGATGCTCCAGAACATGGGAAGAAATTACTTCCCAAACTCCAATGCTGGATCCCAGAGCCAAGCTAAAGGTAGATTGGTCCCGACCATCAATCAGATCAGTTTGTTCACAGACAGCACTGACTTGAGCCACAATGACCCAGATGTCTGGAGTGGAATTAGGCAAAGGGAACTGTCTTAAGGGTGTCTACCAACAGCCCTAAGACCCTCATGCAGCAGAGGAGGGTCAAACCACTTCTGAATTCAAGAACATGCACGGTAGACCTGGGATCTGAAGCTCCTGCTAGGAAAAGGAACACTCGGGCCTGGGAAGTTTCTTAAACCATTTTTTCAATAATCGATTATAATCGATTATGTCGATTAGTTGTTGCAGCCCTAAACCAATCCATATATTCCAAACAATCAGCCGGAGAAAACAAAGAATTCTTAAAGGAGAACTATGCTTCTCACTCACCTCATAGTTCTAGCCGACCTGTGACAATGAGACTGTCACAGGTCGGCTCAGTAGATCGGGAGGTGAGCGAACACATACCGGCGTTCGCTCACCTCTCGATCCTGTCATGGCTCTCTGCCGTGACAGGGGAGGGGCTGGATTCCCCCCTCCCCGCCAGTGCTGACTGGCGGAACGGACGGGGGAGGGTACAGCTGGCTCTGCCTCTAGATAGACATTGATGTTGGGATCTGCTCCAGCTGCGGCGTCTCAGTATACCGCGAGCTGTAGCTCGCGGTATACTGAGCTTAGGGTAACGGGAGGACGCTAGTTTGTGTCCTCCCCTTACCCTAAGGAGAACTATGGGGAAAAGCCCTGACCCCATAGTTCTCCTTTAAGGTTCATGGTCCACCTATTCTCTGCAAAATCTGGTCAGAAACAAATTGTCCTCCAGAACCCTTACTGATTGTTCCTGCAACAGGAGGTTGTGAAAGTATCCCACAATTTGAATACCCCAAGAGGGCAACAGAGCTAACACTTGGGCAAGCACCTTGATGCTGAGGTACAGATACTGAAGACAGGTTGGATCAAAGGAACAAAACTGGTTCTATAGAGGCCCTACAACAAAACATAGTATGCATCTTTTATGTCCACTGAAGCAAAAGTCTCCCTGGTGAGAAAAAGCAATGACAGATCTAGTTAATTACATCTAAATTTGTGAGACTGAATGTAAACATTCAGTACCTTGAAGTCCAAGACGGAATGACTACCCCCTTTGTTTTTTCGGACAGTGAACAAATTGGAACAAGACCCCTGAAACCGTCACTACATGGTCACTTTGGTCGAATTGTTGTTACTGTAACAGAACAGCATTCACTGCTCCTCCACTCCTGCATGTATTCCATGCTCCTGGTGTGTTAAATACCTGCTCCCCCGATGCAGGCTGTGGCTCCTCTTGCCATCTCTCTATAGGATGTACGAGGCGATGACAGAAACCACAGCATGTGGCAGGTATTTGACAACTTGAAGAGTCAAGTTCCTGCTGCGCCCGCATTTTAACAAACAGACACCTCAGAAGGTAAATATACAGCCTGTTCTTTTACACCTTGGGCATTGTGGGTAAGTGACTCTGTAGTGACAGGGTCTCTTCAAAATGAAACTCTAGTTGTTGAGAAAACATCTTACCTAGGTTAACTATATAAAGTGAAAATATATTTATCACGTGCATTTATATAATCAACACAGTGCTTTACATACTATAAGTTTACATCAGCCCCTTCCCTCAGGGAGCTTACAATCTGAGGTCCAAACACATACTAGGGCCAATAAAGGTAGGAGCCAAATAATCTACCACCATATCTGTGTGGAAGGAAACTGGGGTACCCGGAGGAAACCTGAACAAGCACAGGGAGAACATGCAAACACCATGCAGTGTCCTGGCCGAACCTGGATTCAAATCAGAAACCTCAGTGCTGCTTGGCAGAAGTGAAAATAAATGGGCAGCACAGTGGTGTAGTGGTTAGCTCCCAAGACACAAGGAGTCTGCATGTTCTCCCTGTGCTTGCATGGGTTTCCTCCGGGTACTTCGGTTTCCTCCCACACTCCAAAGACATGCTGGAAGGTTAACTGGCTCCTGTCTAAATTGGCCCTGTATGTATGCCTGTGAGATAGGGACCTTAGATTGTAAGCTCCTTGAGGGCAGGGATGTGAATGTGCACTATGTGAAGTGCTGCATAAATTGTCGACACCATATGAATACCTGTAATAAATAAATCATCACCGTGGATCTCAAACTGCATTTTTTTTCTAAAATACTTGTTTTCACCTTTTTCCAATCACCCCAGCATTGCTGATGTCTTGCAGCCACTTCCTGTCTGCATATGCATGTATCCCAAGAATGACTGTATGACATGCTGGCCTCTACAGCGTGCAGGGCTTTTTCATGCGCTGGAGCTGCAGGAGGAAACATGCAGGCAGCTCATGCAAGGCTATGGAAACACAGGATCTGTGCGCCCTCACATGCTGCTTCCCACAGCTCCGAGTTGTGACAGCCACACACAGATGATGAATGGACCTGGACCCAGCATGTCTGCGTCCGAGGCTGTACACCATTAGTGATGGGCTCGGGCGTGTTCGCAGCTCCACGTGCCGAGCCCGCCAGGAAGCTGACAGCGCCGCAGTGCCAATCACAGGTACTGAGACATTATCCCGGTCCGTAGCTGCAGAGATTGGGAAATGTCTCCGTGCCTGTGATTGGCGCTGTCAGCTTCCTGGCGGGCTCGGCACATGTAGCTGCGAACACGCCCGAGCCCATCACTATACACCATCTGTGTGTGGCTGATAGAACTCAGAGCCATGGGAAGCAGCGTGTGATGGCACACAGCTCCTACATGTCTATAGCCTTACATGAGCTACCCTCATGCTTCTTCCCGCCACTCAGACTGCATGAAAAAACTGCTCCTCTGTGTGAATGAATAATAATAATAATAATAAATAAAACCACCGCTTGTGTTCTCCAATGGAAGCCCATGTGACAACACAGGAGCACAACTGCAGGGTTGTCACCCCATTACAGGAAGTGCTTAAACAAAGACCATTCATAAGAGAATCAGCAGGAATGACTGTAATGAAAGCTGCAGATTTAAACACTTTGAAATTACTCTCCTGGTTTTATTAGATGGGTTTACATACACGTTGTGTAGCAGTTATATACAACAGTGGAGCTTTCCTCATAGGCTTTATAGTGACTGGAAGCAGACATTCATACAGGTCATTTTCCAGTGGCCCATACAACATACACACCCCAAGAAATCCTTCTCACTGTATAAAGTCAGCGATCCCCGGCGCTATCTGCCAGCTCTGAGCCCGCTCTGTGTTGTCACTGTATACACCGGTATCATGTCCTGTCAATGTACTGCAATAACACACTCCACTTCCGCTCCCTCACACAGTCTATTGGGCGCCTAGAGCTCCGCCTCCACCACGTGACAGCCTAATAGCTCACTAGAGGACGATTACAACTAATATAGGTCTCTGCACGATACCATATTATATTACCGGTACTAGCGGCGGCCATTTTTCTGGTGTTCATTACATTGGACATCTGTGTGCACAGACAAATGGAGGGCGATCCGAGAACAAGCCAGCCCCGCTGAATTAAAAGGGTCTGTTGGTTTAGTGCTGTTTCATGTAGCTGACCGGCTATAGAGCTGTGTTTATAGGCAAATGGCAAGGCAGCTAGCTATGATTTGCAGCAGTGGCAAAGCAACATCACTAGCAATCCAGCTGTATTGAAACTACAAATGCCATAATGCCTCTCTCTCTGGGCGTTGCCTGTGGCTGTCAGAGCATTGCAATGCCTTATGGAACTTGTAGTACAGAAGTAGAAGAAAATAAGAGGAATTTATCAAAACTGGAGCAGACAAAATCTGGAGCAGCTGTGCGTGGCAACCAATCAGCTTCTCTCTTTTCAAATCTTAAACAAACTGAAGAGAGAAGCTGATTGGTTCCCCCCAAAGCAGCTCTACACACTGCAGCCACCCAGCGGACTCCAGCTGCATGCTAGAAAGGTATGTTTTAGCCTGAGGCTGGTGTCATCTAGAGCTGCAGCTAACGATTATTTTCAAAATCGATTAGTTAGCCGATTATAAAAAAAAAAACGGCTCCAGTGATGGGACTACTAGTTTGTATTGAGATTGTAGTCCATCACAGGAGCAAGCTTGGAGCGGTGGAAGTAAAAAAGAAAAGAAAAAAAAAGTGTGGTGTACAATAGTGAAATGAAAAGTGTAAAATTATAGAGCAATGAATGCAGAATGGCACCGGCTATAGAGGACTACAAAACCCAGCAATAGTACATTATACCGCACAATGCAGAATACCACCAGCTATAGAAGAATACAACAAATCCCAGCAATAGTACATTATAGCTGGCGGTATTCTAGTCCTGGTATACTATTGCTGGGTTTTCTAGTCCTCTATAGCTAGTGGTATTCGGCATTGCACCACTGTATAATGTATTATTGCTGGGTTTTGTAGTCCTTTATAGCTGGTGGTACTCCGCATTGCGCTGTATAATGTATTATTGCTGGAATTTGTAGTCCTCTTTACAGCGCAATGCAGAAAACCACCAGCTATATAGAAATGCAACAAATTCCAGCAATACATTATACATACAGTGTATGATGTATTGCTGGGATTTGTAGTCCTCTATAGCTGATGGTATAATATACAGCACAATGTACCATCAGCTATAGAGGAATACAAATCCCAGCAATACATTATAGAGCACCATGTGTGGGAAAGTGCAGGCTTACCTGAGCAGTCTTCCAGCAACTTGCTTCTGAGATCGGGCCTGTCTATCGGCAGCTGTCATCCCCCCACACCTGCTCCTCCTTACTTCTCCCCAGGTCCCTGTGCCGATCGTGGATGTGGGCGGGCAGTGAGGAAGTGTTCCAGCAACTTGCTTCTGAGATCGGGCCTGTCTATCGGCAATGAGGTGGGGAGGAGGTGCGGCGCGCAGCGTGTGTGGAGCTGTGAACAGGGCCAACTAATTGGAAGCCGATTAATCGATGATTGAAAAAGTTGACAACTTTTTCAATCATCGATTATAATCGATTATGTCGATTAGTTGTTGCAGCCCTAGTGTGAACCAATGCTTACCGCTTTCTGTGTCCCCATTGGGGGGTGGCTGGTGCAACCTGGGACAGGAAATGAAGACAGGCAGAAATATAATCACTTTTAGGCCCCATTTACACCTAGGCGTTTTGTCGCAAGCTGCAAAACACCTACCACTCAAAGTTCCCAAGCTTCTTTGGGCTGTTTTGCAGCACATTTGACCCCATAGTTTTCAGTGGAAAATCCCCAAAACGGCACGACACAAGCGTTAACATATGTTTGTGCAAAAAAGCACAAAAACGCTGACGCCTAGGTGTGAATGCAGGCTTATTTGTTAATGGCACCCTGAATGCGCCAAACAATACGTGTGTCTTGCAGCGCAAAAAACGTCCAGCTAAAAACCGTGTGAAGCTCACGGCTCAAACTGCTGCATGAGCTTCTCTTCCACGTTTGTTGCATGGCACTGCCCTATGCTGATGCGTGAATAGTATGAATGGGGGGCCTTTGTATACGATGCAATGCAAAAATTCATAGATACAGTAGTTTGTTTTAAAAATACAATGACATTCTTGTATCAAGTTTCAGTTTCCTTTCCATATGTGTGTGAATCATTGCCAGAATTGATACAATATTGTCAAAGGAAATGAAATATTTTACCTTAGGAAAACAGAGTCAAGCATTCAGCAGCTATCTTTATTATGTAGATCTTATTTAGGCAGACCTATATTTATACAGCTTGCAGATTCTCCGCTACATTTATATGTGAGATTTTGTGGATGAATCATCGACCACATATGTGCACTGATATTTTCAAAATATTTTTTATTTTCGCTAAACACATTAGTGTCAGTCAAAGCCATTTATAGTATATGCTGATTAATAATAAAAACAGCGTATGTTTGTGAACCATCAAATTTATTTATGGGATATTTCCTAGTCTTTATACATTGCAGACTCTGTGCAGCCTCATTTTTACAGCTTTACAGGGCGTTGCCTCCCTCTGCTATGTAGTAATATGTTTTATTTCTTTTTTTTACAGCTTAAAAAGAATGCTTTTAGTTATGTCAGATAGTAAAGTTCATGCTGTACTCTAACCACCCCACCGACACCAGTGCTGCAGGCAGGGCCGGATTTACTCTCTCTGCTGCCCCAAGGCCAGGTTCCTCAATGTGCCCTCTTGACACCGCCGGGATCACTTGTACAAAAAAAGCGGCAGGTTCCTCACTGTACATTTAGCTCTGCTTGCCCAAAGCAGGGTCAAATGTAGAAAACAACTACTCGCCTGGAACTGCATGGCATCGGGGGATAGGAATACCACTACTCCCTGCTGCCCCGAGGCCGGGCCTTGGTTGGCCTTGTGGTAAATCCAGCCCTGGCTGCAGGTATGATAGTCCAATACGTCCCCCTGCACTCCTCACAGCGTCTCCGGCCTGAATCCCAATGATGGCGCTCGCAGTGATACTCACGGATGGCGCCGTGCACATCAAACACATTGTTAGATTGTTGCCCTGATGAAGGGTCCCTGCGTGGCCCCCGAAACGTCGGTTATAATTATTGCAACATGTATGATGATTCGTCCGATTAAATGGACTTTATTGTTTGAATATTTTCCACTGAGTGCTGGTGATTCCTGTTCATTTGCTGCAGGTATGATAGACACCAGGTTTGGAGACATGTCTCCATCCCAATGTACAGTACACTTTGCCATTTACAAAACTTATAATGATGCCATGCCCCTGTGTTTTGGGAGACCGAGGCAGAGACACATGGGGCATAGGTATGGTGGGTGCTGTGCTATCTGGCAAAATGAAGGGATTCTTTTAAATTGTATGAACAAAGCGAGCATTAAGTTACAGGTAAATGGTTACTGACCCCTTCACGGCTATTAAAATTATGGTGCCCTGAGTTTGTTTATAACAGCGGTCGCCAACCTTTCGAACTTCATGGACCACTAAATTCATAATTTTAAATCCCGCGGACCACTAATATGAATACATACAGTATATATACACATACATAGGTGCGGGTGTGCCTGCAGGAGTGGCAGTGCCGGTGGAGGGAGGGAGCGGTTTACCACCCTATCGAATCTGCCACTGGCCTTGCCAGCGGTGCCCGGGGCACATGCACCCACTGGCTTCAGCACTATCATATACATGCGTATATACGCGTAAACATGCGCATGCACGTAAAATACGCTGCTAAGACGCATCTCCGTTCCATTCTATTTTTGCACATGTTTACGCTACGCAAATATACGGCTCCATACGCAGCTATGTGTATGGAGCCATTTATTTGCATAGGTTGCATATAGTACAATACGCGTATATGCACGGCAGTGTGAATGAGGCCTTATGGCAACATCAAGACTCTAGTATTGTTTCAAATATTTTGTTTATTATAAGTATTTCTTTAAAACCAAAAAGGAAAAGAAAGATTTAAAAACAAAAATATATTAGCAACAAATTATCCTAAGGAACTCTGAGGGCAGTGCGCTACCCCTAACACTAACCAGATGTAGGTAAAGTATCATAAATATAATTACATATATGCAAATGTTATTATATAGTTTTGATGTATCAAATCTTATATGCTTGTAATTCGTTGGAGCGAGGACAGCTCAATGTGCTTCACAGATAACTGACAGTCTCCTTCATCAGGAGGCCCTTGGGGATAGTGCAATAATGTCTATAATCAATCACAATTAGGAGATATTAGGAATGTGTTATATTTATTTATTTCGTATTTGGCACAGACTTATTACATATGTAATCTGGAACAAGTGTCTCAACTGGAACACTCCCCCTTTGTTCCTGTCCTAGTAAAATCTAAACATTTTGGATTCTCCCTGACGTTTATTCCCATAACCATGATCAGTACAGTTTGAGAAAGGGCTGGATTTACTCTCTCTGCTGCCCCAATGCCAGGTTCCTCAATGAGCCCGCCTGTATGCAGGCTGCATACAAGTGATCTGGGTGACATCGCCAAGATAACTTGTACAAAACAAGCGGCGGCTTCCTCATTGTACATTTAGCCCTGCTTGCCCAAAGCAGGGCCAAATGTAGAAAACAACTACCCGTCCGGCACCTGGAACTGCATGTCCTAGGCGTCGGGAGATAAGAATACCATACCCCTGTTGCCTCTCTAGTCCCTGCTGCCCCAAGGACGGGACTCGGTTGGCCTTGTGGGAAATCCAGCCCTGGGTAGAGAGAATAGACCATCTGAATGGGGACACAGACTGAGAAGGGGGTGTGGGGGGGTGGGGGGTTCTAATCCCTCAGGACTCTATCCAAAATTAACAAA